ATCCACTGGTGAACACTACCACACTAACAGCCAAGACATTATCGACCAAATAAGGCAGCACGGTATTGATAAATATTACGCTGACAATATGACTCTCCACCATCCAGCAGATGGAAATAATAACTTGATTAGAACTAACTACAACCCTGGCAACATTGATGCTAACTGGCACATCTACACAGATGGGGCCAGGAATGAAATGTGCACAGGAGCGGCGCTAGTAATATACAATACAGCTACTAATCACATAGTTCACGAGGAACATTATAAGCTCCACTGCCCTCTGCTCCAATAACCAAGCAGAGCTGCGTAAGGCTGTCATGGCTGTGACAAGAAATCTAAAAAATTTCAGAGGAAGTATAAATTTCTGCACAGATAGCCGCTATGTGCTCAGTGTGTTGACTGACACAAGGAAAATGCTTGCAACAGGAATTAAAGCTACCCAACTGGCCAGAAACCTGAGCAAACACAGGACCATCACCTTCAGCTGGGTGCCAGGTAACCAAGATATTCAGGGAAATGAGAAAGCTGATAAGCTGGCCAGAAGGACCTCTGGGTTGGACATAGACCCCTCCTTCGGCTTAGTCCCTATCTCCCACATCAACCACTTCATTCACAACAAGAGTATTGAGCTGTTGGAATCTGAATGGAACAACTCCAACACTGGTAGAACTACCTTCAGCTTACTACCTTCAATTCAGAAGCGCCAGAATTACCATTACATAACTCCGACATACCTCATGATCCAGTCCCTAACCAGCCATGGAAACTTACCAGCCTATCTTCACTGAATTGGAAAGAAAAGCAATGCAAACTGCGACTGTGATGATTAATCTTATGGTGACACTTTCCATATTATCTTTGACTGTCTGACACGTGAACCTAACAGGAGGGCTCTGCATACATACTGCCTAACAAACAATCACACTTGGCCACCAGATCTTGACTTTCTGTGTGCACACAAAGAGGGATTTGCTCTCCTAACAAAATTTGTGGAATCTTGCAGCAACTTCCAAAGTGGTTCTCAAACCCAGACTACCTAAGCTGGTATTGTTTTTGGGCTATAAATTGTTTTGCTACATCTCAACTTACTCTAATGTAAAGCTCCTATAAAACCCCCCCCATCCCCGCACAGGAATATATTGTAAATGTTGTCTGCACTTGGCTCATGTACACTTCTACTGTATACTTTAACTGTTTCTCTGGTGTGTTAATGTAATAGGGTGGGCTGGCCCTACCTTCATTTTAAGTTAATGTATTAATTGTTGCAACCATCTCAATTGTATATCTATACTTGTAAAGAAAGTACCATTTATCTTATGCTAATTGCAACCACATACAGGTTTTCACTGCATTGTAATACCAGTTCTGTACAGATTTTGTATGTGCTATGTTTTACTCATTATTTGTATGTTTGATGTAAAGTGCTAACCAGCACTATGCTCACCATCAGCCAAATGGCATCTGTATATAAAACTTTATACTACACTGATTTCTACAAACAAAGGTGGTGTGGGACAATCATGAGATTCCCATCCCCAACTTCCCTTCCTTTTTTTTACTCTTTTCCACCACACTTTACTCTCTTCCCCCTACTCCCCCCTTTTCCTTCTTCCTCCTGGCTACGGACAGCCTGCTTATCTCTGTATAAAGGTAAATCTTATGCAAAATTTGCTGGTGCGTGCAATGTTTTCTTAAATTTTATTTTTTTTATCCGATACCTAATTTATATTGAATGGATACTGCAGTGAACCAAGCATTAATACATGCATTAATTACAAGTAAACAAGAAGACAGTTGTTTTTATTTTTCTCAAGAAATGTACTCTAAAATGCTTTCTGAAGTGGTTTCTGCTAAAGTAAGTGCAGCATACCTTTAAATTACAGATGATTAAAACATTTTGGCATTTTAAAAATTAATGATGAAGAGAATTTAATTGTTCCATTAAAACCAGGAGAAATGAATATACAGTATTATGTTACCAGTGATAAATTGTTCAGTACACTATCTGAAACTCACAGCAGAACAGACCATGGACAAAGAACACATATGCTTAAAGAATTGCAACTTAAATACAAAAATATTACATATGAAGTTGTAATGTTGTATTTAAATTTATGTAAATAATGTCAAATGAAACATAGTGCATCTAAAAAGGCATTGTTGTGAAACCAATGGTCAGTTCAGAGTTAAACTCAAGATGTCAAGTCGATCTGATAGACCTGCAGTCACACAGGATGGTGAATATAAGTTCATAATGGTGTATCAAGGTCATTTAATGAAATTTGTCCAGTTATGACCTTTAAAAACTGAGACAACTGAAGAAGTAGCATATCACCTTTTTCAAATATTTTTAACATTTGATGCCCCAGCTATATTGCATTCAGATAATGGTAGGGAATTCTGTAATCAAGTAATATCCGAACTACACACTATATGGAAAGATGTTAAGATAGTTCATGGAAAGCCTCATCATAGTTAAACACAAGGCTCAGTTGAAAGGGCCAATCAGGATATACAGAATATGTTAGCTATAAGGATGAACAATAACGATACAGATAAATGGTCAGATGGTTTGCCCTTTGTACAATTTGCCAAGAACACTACATATCATGAAGGAATATGCCAAAGTCCTTATGAAGCCATGTTTGGCGTTAAACCAAAAAAAGGCATAGCATCATCATCATCTTTGCCTGGCGAACAAATCGCAAATATTGAAACCAAGGAACAGCTTGAAGAAATTGTTAAATACTTTTGAAGAAAATTTGAGCGGTGGCCATAATGAATACCATATTCCAAAGGAAAATATTAAAGAGGAGCTGCAACCCACCACATCTTCATATCAAGCCCTGACTGAACAACACGAAGTTATTTCTATAAAAAGAGCAACCACAAAAGAGAATCTTTTACTGCAAGCAACAAAAATGTTACAAACCTCAAAAAGAAAATTTTCTTCTGCTCAAATTGGTGATACCATATGAATACAAGTCCCTGATGTCAACTGTGGCTGTACAGATGCCTGAAATGTGTTGGCAGTTGTTGGAATAGAACACTCCAACTTTTATAAATTAGCAAACAAAAATGGTACCCTCAAGCAGCTTTATACCCATAATCAGTATGTAATTTGTAAAGAAAAGTTACTTTCCATAGATGAGATTTCTTCTCAAGAAATATCATTGAGACAAGCAGCTGCAGATAATTTGAAAAGTGGAGGGCAAGACTATACACACTGTCATTGCAAAAAGAAGTATTCCACGAGTAAATGCAGTTGTAAAAGCAAGGGACTCTTGTGAAATTCAAAGTGTCATAACAGTTTAAGTTGTTGCAATAAATAAGATTGTATAACATTAATCACATAATTTATGTGTAAGTTTATTATTATATTATTTTCTTTAATGATTTAGAATGTGCTGTTTGTTTTAGGTTCAACAGTTTATTTACATGTGCTGTTATTTTAGCTTTCTCCTATTTTGACATATTAGAAAGTTGCATTTTTGTCTTAATGTAATAAAAATATTTTTATTCAACATTCACCATCAGTGCGTGCTGAATGTCAACATTTGCCAGTGTAAGTGAGAAATAATGATATTTAGCAAATATTTCATACATACACGAAATGAATGCTGACATTCACCAGATATAGGTCAATCACAGTAACATATATATATATATATATGTGATGTGTGTGTATGTGTAAGCACTTTAGGTGCATATATTTATACACTGACTGGATTTTGATGAGTAATTTGCAGTTTTGATGCATAAAGTGCACTATATGTGTGTATTTTTTGCAAACACTGCTTTCAAGGTGAGTAGCATTCCAGCATGGAAGAGAAGAAAGTACCATCAGGCCACATGCAGGACACACTGTGACTGTTTTTACTAATATTACTTGCATTGTTATTGCCCAATGCATGAAGGGAGACAGGTTATGGTCTCTGAAGAAGTTAGAGATACAGGTATTGGTCAGGCAATTGTGCAGAATTTTACAAGATCTACACATGATCAAAATTACTGTCAAGTGGGTCTTGTATGAACTGAATCTGTGAATCTGAGTTTAAATGTCAATCTGCTGAGTGAGACATTCAGAATTATTTCAAAAGCATGTTTCAATAAAACCTATCTCTTGTGAAGATAATGATATCTTTGCATGTGATATCCAATTCAATTTGTATCATTTTGCTTCACATGGTCAGACTGATTGCACCATATTATAAAACCTATCTGCATGTTAGACTTGATATTGCTTTTTGGAGATTAGTAAAAACTAGTTAGACTCGCATAACTGGTTATGTAGCAAAGGAATAAAGATTAAACAAGAAATGACACTGTCTTGATTCACGGAAGGTCAGCACTGAAAAGGGGGAGTGAAACAAGGTCTCACTGTCTCTAACGGCTCCCTGAGGGGTCAACAGCACTACCAACCTTTTATTATGTAACGGAAAAATGTTTACAAAACATCACCATGACACAATATGTTGTACTGTACATAACAATGTCATGTAGCATTCAAAAATAATTTTAATCATTGATTCCAACACTGCAGAATAGCCTGTGTTGACAGTTATGGAGAAACATATTGAACTGCTTTACTATTCCCCCATTCTTCACAATAATACTATTGTCCATACAGAAAACAGAGTCAAGAATCTTTTATGATACATTCACAATAGCCAAGTGGATAAAACCACTGAACACTGGTAGTTGGTCATGGGTTTGACCTCATCAACAGACTGGCCATGTGGAGTTTTTGGGTTTGAGTATATTGTCTTCTTTAATGTATAAATTTTAAAATTATTTGACATAAATGCATTTGTAAAAAGAAAAAATTGTTAAAACAAGAAATAACTGTCTGTCGGCATTAAACAAAATTGTTGTCATGACTAATGAAGCAACCTTTATATATATATAAGGGTTATATGTTACTATATAATAAAATTTATAATTATGTAAAATTTTTATATTATATTAAATTTCTAAATGTAAAATATTATTTCTAGTTGGAAAATTATTTTGGAAACAAAACTGTTTATGTAAAAGCAACTTTGCACACAAATAGTGAGCCTCCAGTACAACATGTTCATAGGCTGAGAGGACCAGATTGTACAGATGGTGTCTGTATAAAAAAAGTAGATAAAACCAGTATTGTTGTGTATGTAATCTAAACTTTTATATATTAATTCTTTTATGTAATATGATTTTTATTACATGACTTGATTTTAAGTAAAATATAATAGATGTAGTATTAGTAAAAAATTAATATATTGAAAATTTCCAAATATGGTTTTTTTCTGTAAAGAGTCTTAATTATGGTTTTATTTAGAATTTTTATTTAATTTCTTGAAATATACATTATTTCCTTACTACTTTTTAAAATTTAATTAAAATGTCATAAACTACAATATAATTTTAATAAATATGCGAGTTGCCATCAAAATTTGAAAAAGATATTACAATGCTTTTAATCTGGAAATATCTTCAGCTTCACATTTGAATAGAAGTACACCTATTATCATTATGTCAGATTAAACATCTTTTTAAGTTCAAAAAATGGAATACATATTGGAAAATTCCAGCAAAATTGAGTTTTGTAGTACTTATTTTCCTTCCAGTAACCGTTGATAAGTGTAGACTTATTTATATGGCATGTATAATCTCATGATTGAATACTGTGTAATTTGTTATATTTATTTGCATATGTCATAGTCACGTGTTGAAATAAACTTTTGTTTTCTTTCAGAATCTGTCTAGTTTTTCTGGTCACTTCTTGAAATGCTAATCTGGTTTCTGCAGATATTGAAATAGACAAATATTTGTAATGTATAATGACTTATTAGCATATAGCATAAGGCAAAACAGTTAAATGTTTTCTACTTCTGTAAATCCTAACAGGCAGATTCCTGGCTGCGTCAATTTTTTGTTTTGGAGTCTATTTAATTTGTATGTAATACTTATTAGATTGAAAAAATTTGGATACTGTGAGATATAATTATTCAATAGAATTTTATGTGTAGAGAAGATCTATATGCTATAAGAGGTTTCAGTGTTTTTGAACATTTTTTTGTCTAGTGGTCAATAAAAACTGCTGGTAGATTGTCTTTATATAAATAATCTTATGCTATCTTGAACGATATTGACAACTGTCTTCATGTCTCAGTTTGAAATCAGTGGTGGTGTTATATTGGCCACATTTTTTTTTTCTTTTTATAAAAAAAACTAAGGTAAATTAGTCTGATTTGACTTCTTTTTTATGTTGCTTCTTTAGGGATTTTTATTAATTTTCAATAAAAGAAAAAAATTTCACAGTTGTGTGAATATGTTTTTTTTTTTTTTAAACTTGGTTTATAAACAGAATAATATTATAATCTTTCTATGTTTAAAAAAAAAAGCACTTTTGCCTATTTTTTTAAGGCTTGATTGATTAAACATATTCAAATAGAATGATCAATACAATTTTGCAAAAGTATTTTAGAAATTAAAAAATATATTTAAAAGTTGCATTCCAAAATAGAAAAAATTATACTTCATGATGTTAGGATTCCCCATATTTATTTATTTTTAACCTATTTTTATGTATATTTCTCATAAAATTTATTGGCTAGATTGCCAGAAAAATTTTCTGGTCATCCTACCAGGAAAAAGGTCCTGGGAAAACACTGAGTATTTTGATCAGTCTTTATCTTGCTATTATAAAAGCATTAATCTAATGAAAAAATGACATCGGAAATGTCTTAATAAATATCATTTTGATAACTTTTGATCTTTATGACTAAAATCTGATTTAAATCAAGAAGTCAGAAAATGAATGTTGATATTTAATGAATTTTATTTTTGGTGAAATTACGAATGGCTCTTATGTTTTTGAATTTGAAACTTTTAGCAAATTTTAAATTTATTATAATTAGTTACAGATGAAGTTGTTTGAAATAAAATATTACTAAAAATGTTAAAAATGCAGCAGAACTTCATATAACAAATTTCTATTTTATATAATTTTCCATTTAATGAATTTTTGGTGGGATTCTCCTTGTTGAAGTAATTCATCTTAGTTTGATTGTATTTTACAAAATAAAAGAAGGATGAGTTTGTGCAAAAATATGTGAATAATTCTTGAAATATAGCAAATAGTAAACTTATCAGAACCAATTAAGTTATGAGTTAATTGGTTTTGATATCAAGAAAGGTATTTAATACTGTTGTGGTTAAGTTGCAGTTTTAAGATAGGCCTATAGTGCTGCCCATTTCAACTTTTATGAAAATAATGTTGGAAAAAGCAAAAGTGTAATTGTGTATCTTGGGAAAATTTACATTATAAATGAAAGTAATAGTGGCTATAAAAAGAAAGATGTGGCTTGAAGTATAGTATTCTATCAAGTAATTTATTCATGATTTTAAAAATTAAGAATTTATTGTGATATCCTCTAATGAACTGGACTCTCACTGAAAATGTACAAAAGTGTGTAAATACGAAAAACTTGATGAAGCAATACTAAAATAGATGCAGTTAGCAAGAGAGAAAAATTTGTGTTTATTAAATATGTTAATACGTGCAAAATAAAAAGAATTTACTAAGTTTTTGATTATGATACTTTGAAGCAAGTTCTGGTTGACTGAATAAGTTTAAAGGCAGACATGGAATTTCACAGAAGATTGTATCAGGTAAAAGTGCTGGAAGTCAATAAAGTAGATTGTAAAACTTGGTTCAAAACAATTTTGAAGAAAATCCTGCAAGAATAAGAATCTCAAAGCATCTTTAATGCTGATAAAACATATTTGTTCTTTAAATGTTTATCTGTTAAAACGTTAAAATTTAAATGTTTGGAGAAAAATATAGTAAAGAGAGAGTCACTAATGATATGGGCCAATATGAATGGAACAGAAAAGTTAAATTTACTGATTATAGGAAAAAGTAAAAATTTTAGATGCTTTTATGGTATTAAATTTATGGAGGTTGATTATGATTTTAATAACATGTTGATTGACAAGCCAAAATTTTGAAAACTGAATCTTTCCAGTGTTAGCAACATAGAACACTAACACTGGAAAGATTCGATTTTTTAGGGAGTTCTACCTGAGGAAGGTCCTAGGTGTGGACCAAAAACATTAGTGACGTAACAGTTTTCACATCTAAATGCAAAGCACAATAAGGTTTGTGAGTTTTATTTATAGTGATTAATGCTTTGTTGTTGGAAGATTACTTTTTAGTCTTTCTATGAAATCATAAAGATTCCATTGATTGTAATGCAGCCCCTGATATTTATGAAATACTATTCACTCTAGGACATGAAAATTGCATTAGAAAATATATTTGTTGCATATTCTGCAACCTCTTCATTTAGCTCAAAGAACATCAATATAATACATGTAGAGCAAAAGACAATGACATTAACAATTGTGGCCACAGTTTCAGAAAAATCATTGGAAGGATAATATACAGATATGCTATAAACAATTTATCCATCAACTATAAAGTCACTAGTTGCCTGTACAAATTAGTATGTTTTAACCCAGTAAAGAGCTACTGATACTATCATTTAGTTTGTTATTGAATTTGCTCATTTATAGTGTATTTTTGCATCAACCTTATTTGATATATACATTTTATTTATCTATTCTCACTTTAGTTCTGAAGCTGTTCTAAAACTTTGTAATTTTTAAAATTTGTGTGTATTCTATATTCCATATTCTAATTCATTAATGATTTGATATAATATCTAAATTAAATGTCTGGTAGTGAGGGATCAGAAGGAAGTCCAGATAGTGTAACTGGCACTATGTTTGTACAGTAAGGTTAGAACCAAATTTTTGACATTAAAATGGTTTTTAATCTATAGAAGTTGGCAAAACTATGTAAAATTTTCTCTAACTCAGATAATACTCTCTGGTTCTTACCTCGCAATATGTTTAATTTTAATGTTGGCTGTTGTAAAAAATTGTTGATTATTACAGTAAAACTTCTTTAACTTGAATCTTCAAGGTCAGGAATAAACTTCCAGTTATAGATGATTCCAGTTAGAGTGAAAAATGCTGATTCTGAATAGATTTGTATTTTACCTCTCTTGCATTATATAATCTTTCCTAGTTTTTTTTTAATTTTAAACAACCTATGTAATGCCTTTCAGCAAAATGTTCAATGTAACTAATGGAATCTAACAGTTCTGCAGGTACATCATGTTGAGATAAAGTGAGAGGTTCTCTCAATTTAAACTGGAATGTTGTCTGCAGTATAGGTATTGGACAGTAGATACAACTGTCTGAAAATTTCATGGAAATCTGATAATTAGGATTACTTTGGATAGAATATTAAAATTCAAATCAGGGAAGTTGATAGTAACATAAATCAGTGTCAGGAGACCATGAAAACTTTAACTTGGGAGAAAATTTCAGTTAAGGAAATTCATGTTGAAATTGTTAAATCCCTAAGCTATTTCGTTGAGACCCAACAAAGTGCTTCATTTTCTTTGAGTTAAAGAAATATTCAAGTTACAGACATTTGAGTTAGAGAAGTTTTACTGTATTAAATTTTTAGTAATTATTATTAATGTAATTTTTAAATAGATGAGATAGTTTATTTCAAACCAAATGATTAAAGAACTTTTAAAAGTTAATCAAATTTTTTAAAATAAGCACATTTTTATTTCTAGCTTCCAGAATTTAAGCATTGAATTTGTTGGCAAAAGAGAATTATCAAATATAATATATGAAAGAAAACAGAAGGAATTACAGTTTCAACTATGTGATGAAGGTAAATATTAATGTAATTTTTATGAAACAAGAATTTACTTTATTAAACACAACTAAACATAAAACACCCTTTTTTTTAACTCCAGCAAAAATATTTAATTACAAATGTTTTCAATCTATTTAATGTTATCATTAGGTAACATGTTTGACACAGAAATCTGATTTGAAATTTCAGGTATACATAGAATATATACAAAAATAGAATTATAAAAAGTAAAATTACCTAAAATATGAATTATAATATAACTACAAATATTAAAAAAATAAATAAAGTAAGTAGCAATGCAAAAGTAAGGTAAACTAAATGATTTCCAGGCTGTAGAAACATTGTTACAGTATTTGAAGTTAATACTTTTGACACTATGATAGGAGAAATAAATTTCAAATTGCTCTGAGTGCCCTCAGCAGAGATTTTCATAATAATTGCATTGCACAGGCTTTGTTTAGTTGAAGGTCAATCTCTGGTTCTGCTACATAAATGGTCAATGCTATAGTATGAACTGCTATCTTAAAGTCCCACTCATGCTTTTGAATAATGCATGCTAACAGAAGTGAGAAGTTTTTCCAATATATTTCTGTTTTTTGTTGTATCTCTTTTTCAGATAATTCTTATTCTGTATGAATATTTATTGAGTTGCATTTTTCAAATTGCAGACTAATACATTCCCACTGTCCTTCATTAATCTCAAGAATGGAATTAGACAGATAAAAATTTAGATCAGATATGGAAAGCTTAGAGGTTTTGATTAATAATATAAAATTTCTGGTCTCAGTCTGGATCAGAAGCCATATAATTTTTTTAAATTAAAGGATAAGTAAAAATTCAGCCCAGCATTGTGATGATGTCACAATAAATAATTACTTGTTCATTAATATTTTTTCTTACATATTGGCAATGGCCTGTGAGATATTAAGTTAGTTTGTAGTGGGTCATGGACAAAGAAATAAGACACCCTTGTTAACAAAGTACAAGAAGTTTATTATAAAAAAATAAAACACACAAATATACTCCACAAGACTCAGGATATCAGTTGATGGGGACTTCAGCTGGACAACAATGTACCTCAACAACTCTTTTGGGAACAGACAACCACGAATAACAAACTCAAAACCAACATACACAAACATATTATTAATATTTAAGCTTATCCTATGTATTACTATTAAACTAAAATTAAATATTATTACCAAACTTAAAGCTAGTACGAAATCAACCAGTACCGATAGATGCAACTTAGACAATTAGAAAAGTCCTGATTGCAATGGATAGAAATGTCCTATAGTCGGAAAAGTATAGGAACCAGAAAAGGCATTCCAGTTTAGAATGGCAAGAAGAAAAATAGAATCTCCTTGCACTATTTCACTTATTTACTTCTTGAGGGCGATCTCTTGTCTTTGTCCTCTGTGTCAGTTATTCTTCAAAGACCTTGATGCCATGTACTTTTTTTCGACTACCTTTGTTGAGGTAGGATTGTGTAAGAACACAATTCCTGCCTTTTTTTTTGAACTCATGATCCACCTTCACAAAAAGACGGTTGAGGAAGCGACCATTGGATTTTGAATGTGTGGCCGCTGATTAATCAGCAGCTCATCACACCACCAGCGGATCTCCATTAGAGCTGCGACCTGCAGAAATCACTGATTGGTCGACTGACCCGCTGTCAACAGCTATAAAAGGTTAATATCAAAGCGGGAGAGTTAAGTTCACTTCAACACGGGAACTTCGGGAAGTTTGCTTCGGAACTTCAGGATATACATTAAGTTTGTCGTAAATCTTCAAGTGTGCATCAAAGTTCGAGTCGAGTCTGGATTCATCTCACTGTCTGTTCTTCAACTGCTGGAAGAAAAGATTACTTCTAGCCAAAAACTTGTTGATTCATCATAAGGTGTCTTCTCGATGGACCATATCAGCATATTGAACTATCTGAACTTTGTTAATGTTATTGGTACACCGAGTTAGTCGCCAATTGTGAAAATACAAACATTTTTAAACTTCACTACCTTCTTTGCTGTCTCACGGAATCCTTTACTCCTCCTAAGAGAAGGAACCTACATCTGACCTGGCTCATCTCTTGTCCAAAAGTATCTTTTCTTTCTACCTCCATTTTCCTGGGCTACCTCAAATACTCATCCAACTGGTCCTTCTCAATTGGACAGGGAAGAGGGGCAACTCCAGAGTTGAATTAATACAAAGAATAGGTACAGACAAGCTGGCTCAAAATTGGAATTACAGGGAGGTAGATAAAAGAGCATACATAAAACAAAAAACAAAAAAAACAAACACAAAAAGAAACAAGGCTTATCACCACAGGCCCATCGGGAAGTTAGGAAATTTCCAGAGCCACTGTTAGGGCTGGTTGACTAGTGCTGGGTACCTGTTTATTCATAGGTATTAGTACAGTACTGTATCCATGCTAATTGAACAAGTTCCATCTGCCATGCTTTTAATGTCAAGATATTTACTTGTATTCCAGTGAGTATGAAAGAAGAAATAAAAAATGTATTTTTTAATACAACAATAATAAAGTATTGTATGCTTTATGATTTCAGATTAGTTTGAAAACTACAAAACATAAAACCAATTTTTTTTTTTAATTTCAGCAAAAACACATAATTACAAACGTTTTCAACATATTTAAGGCTATAATCAGGTAATCCATTTGAAATAGAAGATTAATTTGAAATTTTGAATACATATACTGGTATAACAGCATTTGCTAACCAGTGGTCCATAGACTACTGATGGACTACCAAAATTTTTTCACAGACCTTGGAGGAATTTGGACATTGATGAACTCAAGATTGTGTGAAGTATTACAAAAGAAATGCAAAATGCTTGGTTTCTTTTTCTCACTTATTAGTTTTAGATTTGAATAAAAAAACACCAAACATAAAATGACTGTTATCAATAAATCTATAAATAAATCAACAATAAATAATGTTGAGAGTATGATTGTCATCCTTCATGGAAAAGAGCCAAGATTTCATAGACTTCTTTCAAACAAGCAGCAACAAACTTCACACTTCTTCTTCTTCTTCTTCTATATAGCTTCTCCGAGCTGGAGGTTGCTAACAATCGATCGCCACTCCTCCCAATCTCTCACAGCGTGAATTAGTTGATTCTTATTAATTTGACTCCACTCTGCTATATCTTGTAGGTAGGTCCTCCGCTGTCTTCCGTGGGAACGGGTTCCTTGGATCCTGCCCTGCAGTATGACAGGAAACAGTGAGTTGGTGGCCCAGATGGCATGGCTGCAGTACCTTGCTTTGCGTCCCGCTACGATAGGAAGCAGCTGTCGCTCTCCCACTCCAATACGTTCCAGCATGCATGCGTTGGTCATGGCTCAGTCCAGCTTATCCATAGCATGTGGCGGTAGCACCACATTTCGAATACTGCCAGTCTTTTCTCCATGCTCTTATTCAGGGTCCATGTCTCGCACCCGTACAGCAAGACAGACCATACATAGCAGTGTAGTACTTTAAGCTTTATCTCCAGGCTTAGTTTATTATCCATAAGTGTTTGCTGGAGATTAGAGAAGGTTGATTTCGTCATTTGGATTCGTGTTCATTTCCTTGTCACATATATCATCTCTTGTTATAATGACTCCAAGATATTTGAATTTGGTTACTTCTTCCAGTAAAGTACAGTCTACAAAGATTTGGGAATTGTCCGCCGCAGTCTTTACTAATTTTTATCCATTTCGTCTTTTTTCCGTTGATATGCATGCCATATTTTGCACTGCCTGCTTGGAGTAAGTCTAGCATCTGTTGGAGCTCTGTCACAGATGTGGCAATGCATGCGAGATTGTTGGCGTATCAGATGTTAAACTTCACACTAATTTGTTATAATTAAACAAGTGAATTTCATATTAATAAAGTAAAATGGAATTTTATTATTATTATTCTATAGATTTTTGTATTGTTAAAAAAAATTTATGATAGTGATCTATGGAATTCAAAATTGTGAGTTTAGTGGTGCATGAGGTCAGAAAGGTTGGTGACTACTGATGTAGAACATCCATGTAAGTTTTGAATGTTTGCCACTAGAGTTGACTCTATATTATTATGTATTTGAAAAATTGTTTCATATATTTATGTGAGAAGCCAGATCATTACTGTCAACACCCTTTGATTTGCTCAAGTGTCACTGGATGGCTAGAATTTAGGAAGGTTATTAGGGAGTGGGGAGACTGTAGGTAAACCAATAAGATATTCAGAATAATTCAAACAATGACAGGTTCAAGGTTAACAATTAACAATGTTTAATAAACTAAATAGACTGGGGATTACACTAATATTCTGACTATGTGTCTACAGATAGGTATGTGAGACACTATCATCATTGACAATACCAACACCGGTATTGTCAACAATGATAGCATATAAGGACTTAGACATGAGATAGTCAATTGACTATCTCATGTCTAAGTCCTTATATGCTAATTGACCAAAAGAGAGAGTTTACAAACATTCTAACATAATACTTCTGAGAGAGAGTGAAGATCTTCTACATCTGTTGAGGTGTATTTGTTGGGGATCCATTATAGAGCCAGGAACATGGCGAATGAGTCATCGTCGTCTATGGCTTTCGTTGGTATGTCTGCCTCGAGGCTCAAGTTCGGGCCCCTTTTATCCTTCCTTGAGCATGGGAGAAAAGTCAGGTGACTTTGATTTAATGTGATCTAAGTTTGTGCCGTGTTCTGGTTCAGTGGATACGAACTGTCAAGAACCAGATGACTCGGCTGAATTATTGATACTTTCTAGCTGTTGGGGTGACTTGTCTTACCTCATAATTTTTTCCGTTTTGACAGTTTCCTATCATTAATAATTATTTAGAATTATTTCCATACCTTATTCAAAACATTGTAAAGGTTGTTGATTCGTGATGAGATTCAATCCTCTGTCTTTCTCTCAGATCCATGTTCAATGGAAATATGAGGGGTGGGAAAAACAGTTTTTTCCACTTTCTCAATTAATCACATATTAATTTTAATTAACTTTGGACTTTCACATTTTGAACAATTATTAATCACTTATTTTATTAAAACTCAACAGACTTTGGAAGATTGATTTTTTTTAGTGAATACATTTTTTCTTGTAATTTTGCAGTAATATTTTTTTATCAACTAAATTAAACAGTAATTTTTCTTCATATTAATTAGAGAAATAAAATTTTTGATGAAATTAAAACTGTTGTTTAATATTTTTTAAGAGTGTACTTCTATTGTAATTACAATACAAATAGACTCTTACGAAACAGAAATGTAAATTTACTGAACTGTGTTTTGTTTCACATTATCTTTATTTAAAATAATATAACAGTCTTTCAGCTCTTCCATATTTATATATAATGAAATTATATAATGAGAGTTTTAATTTTTTTTCAATTTATAAAATAGTTATTAGAGACTTAGCAAATGAAGAGAGTAAAAGAATAAATTTACATGTTGTAAGAATATGTTTTGAAGCTGGAATTTTTGAAGAAGGCGCTCAATGGCAATCACTCTGCAAGACTTATTCTGATCCAATAGCAAATCAAAGTGAGTGAATTTACAAAAAATTAATCAGAAAAATATGTAATTAGAAGAATTTTTAAAAAATTTGTAATAAAATGAAAACCATACACATTTCTAGCAAAAGGAGTTTATGGAACAAATGTTTTCTGTTTATTTTATAAACCTGCCTCAGGTTTCAAACTACAAAATTCCTGGAATGTCTCAAATATTCAATGACATTGTTTATAAAACTTATTTTTTTTTTAACAAGTATATATCAAGAATTAATCCCACATATTAATTATACATAAAAATGCATAGGCATACAAATTCCTGTTGTTCACTTTATTTGTGTTTTGATTTTTGACAAGACTATGTCTTCTTTATAAAATCGCAGTGCCGTTACGGGTCTACACCTTAGAGGTATAAGGGGGATCTAATACTGTGTGCAATTTGGCACAGAGTATTAGGTGCCCAAATCATGCGTACATAAAAAAAATCAGACTTGTAGGTAAATGGGTGACTGAGAACAGAGTCAAAATAAAATACAAACAGGCAAGTGTGTGAGACTTGTGCATGCGTATATCATTGGGAAATCGGAAATGCAAACATTGCAAAATGGAATTTTGACAAACAAATCTTTGAAAAACCCATTTATATCTCTGGTTGCGACCTGCTGACCTTGACCAGTTGACCCAAGATAGGTTGTTTTAGCATTAGAACGTTTTTGAAACTAGATGGTGCTAGTCATTATAATTTTATAATAAAAAAGTAGCCTCTGAAATATATTTTTTTGTTTTTACATTTATTAATATATTTGTTTTGTTTGTGCAAAATAAAAACTAATTTTGGATGATACAATAGTTACGATTATTTTTTTCAAAAACGGGAAATTTTCATTAGGCATTGACAAGCAATGGACAGAAATTTTGACATTTGACCAAAAATGCCTCGTGGACAACCTCATGACTGTGGCCGAGGCTGATGAAGTTTGAATGATCACATTGAGCCCTGAGTCTCTGAGACAGTCTTGTTCCAAAATTGGCCTTGCCATTTTACTTGTTTAATTTATTTAATTTTATNGTGAAATTCAAAGTGTCATAACAGTTTAAGTTGTTGCAATAAATAAGATTGTATAACATTAATCACATAATTTATGTGTAAGTTTATTATTATATTATTTTCTTTAATGATTTAGAATGTGCTGTTTGTTTTAGGTTCAACAGTTTATTTACATGTGCTGTTATTTTAGCTTTCTCCTATTTTGACATATTAGAAAGTTGCATTTTTGTCTTAATGTAATAAAAATATTTTTATTCAACATTCACCATCAGTGCGTGCTGAATGTCAACATTTGCCAGTGTAAGTGAGAAATAATGATATTTAGCAAATATTTCATACATACACGAAATGAATGCTGACATTCACCAGATATAGGTCAATCACAGTAACATATATATATATATATATGTGATGTGTGTGTATGTGTAAGCACTTTAGGTGCATATATTTATACACTGACTGGATTTTGATGAGTAATTTGCAGTTTTGATGCATAAAGTGCACTATATGTGTGTATTTTTTGCAAACACTGCTTTCAAGGTGAGTAGCATTCCAGCATGGAAGAGAAGAAAGTACCATCAGGCCACATGCAGGACACACTGTGACTGTTTTTACTAATATTACTTGCATTGTTATTGCCCAATGCATGAAGGGAGACAGGTTATGGTCTCTGAAGAAGTTAGAGATACAGGTATTGGTCAGGCAATTGTGCAGAATTTTACAAGATCTACACATGATCAAAATTACTGTCAAGTGGGTCTTGTATGAACTGAATCTGTGAATCTGAGTTTAAATGTCAATCTGCTGAGTGAGACATTCAGAATTATTTCAAAAGCATGTTTCAATAAAACCTATCTCTTGTGAAGATAATGATATCTTTGCATGTGATATCCAATTCAATTTGTATCATTTTGCTTCACATGGTCAGACTGATTGCACCATATTATAAAACCTATCTGCATGTTAGACTTGATATTGCTTTTTGGAGATTAGTAAAAACTAGTTAGACTCGCATAACTGGTTATGTAGCAAAGGAATAAAGATTAAACAAGAAATGACACTGTCTTGATTCACGGAAGGTCAGCACTGAAAAGGGGGAGTGAAACAAGGTCTCACTGTCTCTAACGGCTCCCTGAGGGGTCAACAGCACTACCAACCTTTTATTATGTAACGGAAAAATGTTTACAAAACATCACCATGACACAATATGTTGTACTGTACATAACAATGTCATGTAGCATTCAAAAATAATTTTAATCATTGATTCCAACACTGCAGAATAGCCTGTGTTGACAGTTATGGAGAAACATATTGAACTGCTTTACTATTCCCCCATTCTTCACAATAATACTATTGTCCATACAGAAAACAGAGTCAAGAATCTTTTATGATACATTCACAATAGCCAAGTGGATAAAACCACTGAACACTGGTAGTTGGTCATGGGTTTGACCTCATCAACAGACTGGCCATGTGGAGTTTTTGGGTTTGAGTATATTGTCTTCTTTAATGTATAAATTTTAAAATTATTTGACATAAATGCATTTGTAAAAAGAAAAAATTGTTAAAACAAGAAATAACTGTCTGTCGGCATTAAACAAAATTGTTGTCATGACTAATGAAGCAACCTTTATATATATATAAGGGTTATATGTTACTATATAATAAAATTTATAATTATGTAAAATTTTTATATTATATTAAATTTCTAAATGTAAAATATTATTTCTAGTTGGAAAATTATTTTGGAAACAAAACTGTTTATGTAAAAGCAACTTTGCACACAAATAGTGAGCCTCCAGTACAACATGTTCATAGGCTGAGAGGACCAGATTGTACAGATGGTGTCTGTATAAAAAAAGTAGATAAAACCAGTATTGTTGTGTATGTAATCTAAACTTTTATATATTAATTCTTTTATGTAATATGATTTTTATTACATGACTTGATTTTAAGTAAAATATAATAGATGTAGTATTAGTAAAAAATTAATATATTGAAAATTTCCAAATATGGTTTTTTTCTGTAAAGAGTCTTAATTATGGTTTTATTTAGAATTTTTATTTAATTTCTTGAAATATACATTATTTCCTTACTACTTTTTAAAATTTAATTAAAATGTCATAAACTACAATATAATTTTAATAAATATGCGAGTTGCCATCAAAATTTGAAAAAGATATTACAATGCTTTTAATCTGGAAATATCTTCAGCTTCACATTTGAATAGAAGTACACCTATTATCATTATGTCAGATTAAACATCTTTTTAAGTTCAAAAAATGGAATACATATTGGAAAATTCCAGCAAAATTGAGTTTTGTAGTACTTATTTTCCTTCCAGTAACCGTTGATAAGTGTAGACTTATTTATATGGCATGTATAATCTCATGATTGAATACTGTGTAATTTGTTATATTTATTTGCATATGTCATAGTCACGTGTTGAAATAAACTTTTGTTTTCTTTCAGAATCTGTCTAGTTTTTCTGGTCACTTCTTGAAATGCTAATCTGGTTTCTGCAGATATTGAAATAGACAAATATTTGTAATGTATAATGACTTATTAGCATATAGCATAAGGCAAAACAGTTAAATGTTTTCTACTTCTGTAAATCCTAACAGGCAGATTCCTGGCTGCGTCAATTTTTTGTTTTGGAGTCTATTTAATTTGTATGTAATACTTATTAGATTGAAAAAATTTGGATACTGTGAGATATAATTATTCAATAGAATTTTATGTGTAGAGAAGATCTATATGCTATAAGAGGTTTCAGTGTTTTTGAACATTTTTTTGTCTAGTGGTCAATAAAAACTGCTGGTAGATTGTCTTTATATAAATAATCTTATGCTATCTTGAACGATATTGACAACTGTCTTCATGTCTCAGTTTGAAATCAGTGGTGGTGTTATATTGGCCACATTTTTTTTTTCTTTTTATAAAAAAAACTAAGGTAAATTAGTCTGATTTGACTTCTTTTTTATGTTGCTTCTTTAGGGATTTTTATTAATTTTCAATAAAAGAAAAAAATTTCACAGTTGTGTGAATATGTTTTTTTTTTTTTTAAACTTGGTTTATAAACAGAATAATATTATAATCTTTCTATGTTTAAAAAAAAAAGCACTTTTGCCTATTTTTTTAAGGCTTGATTGATTAAACATATTCAAATAGAATGATCAATACAATTTTGCAAAAGTATTTTAGAAATTAAAAAATATATTTAAAAGTTGCATTCCAAAATAGAAAAAATTATACTTCATGATGTTAGGATTCCCCATATTTATTTATTTTTAACCTATTTTTATGTATATTTCTCATAAAATTTATTGGCTAGATTGCCAGAAAAATTTTCTGGTCATCCTACCAGGAAAAAGGTCCTGGGAAAACACTGAGTATTTTGATCAGTCTTTATCTTGCTATTATAAAAGCATTAATCTAATGAAAAAATGACATCGGAAATGTCTTAATAAATATCATTTTGATAACTTTTGATCTTTATGACTAAAATCTGATTTAAATCAAGAAGTCAGAAAATGAATGTTGATATTTAATGAATTTTATTTTTGGTGAAATTACGAATGGCTCTTATGTTTTTGAATTTGAAACTTTTAGCAAATTTTAAATTTATTATAATTAGTTACAGATGAAGTTGTTTGAAATAAAATATTACTAAAAATGTTAAAAATGCAGCAGAACTTCATATAACAAATTTCTATTTTATATAATTTTCCATTTAATGAATTTTTGGTGGGATTCTCCTTGTTGAAGTAATTCATCTTAGTTTGATTGTATTTTACAAAATAAAAGAAGGATGAGTTTGTGCAAAAATATGTGAATAATTCTTGAAATATAGCAAATAGTAAACTTATCAGAACCAATTAAGTTATGAGTTAATTGGTTTTGATATCAAGAAAGGTATTTAATACTGTTGTGGTTAAGTTGCAGTTTTAAGATAGGCCTATAGTGCTGCCCATTTCAACTTTTATGAAAATAATGTTGGAAAAAGCAAAAGTGTAATTGTGTATCTTGGGAAAATTTACATTATAAATGAAAGTAATAGTGGCTATAAAAAGAAAGATGTGGCTTGAAGTATAGTATTCTATCAAGTAATTTATTCATGATTTTAAAAATTAAGAATTTATTGTGATATCCTCTAATGAACTGGACTCTCACTGAAAATGTACAAAAGTGTGTAAATACGAAAAACTTGATGAAGCAATACTAAAATAGATGCAGTTAGCAAGAGAGAAAAATTTGTGTTTATTAAATATGTTAATACGTGCAAAATAAAAAGAATTTACTAAGTTTTTGATTATGATACTTTGAAGCAAGTTCTGGTTGACTGAATAAGTTTAAAGGCAGACATGGAATTTCACAGAAGATTGTATCAGGTAAAAGTGCTGGAAGTCAATAAAGTAGATTGTAAAACTTGGTTCAAAACAATTTTGAAGAAAATCCTGCAAGAATAAGAATCTCAAAGCATCTTTAATGCTGATAAAACATATTTGTTCTTTAAATGTTTATCTGTTAAAACGTTAAAATTTAAATGTTTGGAGAAAAATATAGTAAAGAGAGAGTCACTAATGATATGGGCCAATATGAATGGAACAGAAAAGTTAAATTTACTGATTATAGGAAAAAGTAAAAATTTTAGATGCTTTTATGGTATTAAATTTATGGAGGTTGATTATGATTTTAATAACATGTTGATTGACAAGCCAAAATTTTGAAAACTGAATCTTTCCAGTGTTAGCAACATAGAACACTAACACTGGAAAGATTCGATTTTTTAGGGAGTTCTACCTGAGGAAGGTCCTAGGTGTGGACCAAAAACATTAGTGACGTAACAGTTTTCACATCTAAATGCAAAGCACAATAAGGTTTGTGAGTTTTATTTATAGTGATTAATGCTTTGTTGTTGGAAGATTACTTTTTAGTCTTTCTATGAAATCATAAAGATTCCATTGATTGTAATGCAGCCCCTGATATTTATGAAATACTATTCACTCTAGGACATGAAAATTGCATTAGAAAATATATTTGTTGCATATTCTGCAACCTCTTCATTTAGCTCAAAGAACATCAATATAATACATGTAGAGCAAAAGACAATGACATTAACAATTGTGGCCACAGTTTCAGAAAAATCATTGGAAGGATAATATACAGATATGCTATAAACAATTTATCCATCAACTATAAAGTCACTAGTTGCCTGTACAAATTAGTATGTTTTAACCCAGTAAAGAGCTACTGATACTATCATTTAGTTTGTTATTGAATTTGCTCATTTATAGTGTATTTTTGCATCAACCTTATTTGATATATACATTTTATTTATCTATTCTCACTTTAGTTCTGAAGCTGTTCTAAAACTTTGTAATTTTTAAAATTTGTGTGTATTCTATATTCCATATTCTAATTCATTAATGATTTGATATAATATCTAAATTAAATGTCTGGTAGTGAGGGATCAGAAGGAAGTCCAGATAGTGTAACTGGCACTATGTTTGTACAGTAAGGTTAGAACCAAATTTTTGACATTAAAATGGTTTTTAATCTATAGAAGTTGGCAAAACTATGTAAAATTTTCTCTAACTCAGATAATACTCTCTGGTTCTTACCTCGCAATATGTTTAATTTTAATGTTGGCTGTTGTAAAAAATTGTTGATTATTACAGTAAAACTTCTTTAACTTGAATCTTCAAGGTCAGGAATAAACTTCCAGTTATAGATGATTCCAGTTAGAGTGAAAAATGCTGATTCTGAATAGATTTGTATTTTACCTCTCTTGCATTATATAATCTTTCCTAGTTTTTTTTTAATTTTAAACAACCTATGTAATGCCTTTCAGCAAAATGTTCAATGTAACTAATGGAATCTAACAGTTCTGCAGGTACATCATGTTGAGATAAAGTGAGAGGTTCTCTCAATTTAAACTGGAATGTTGTCTGCAGTATAGGTATTGGACAGTAGATACAACTGTCTGAAAATTTCATGGAAATCTGATAATTAGGATTACTTTGGATAGAATATTAAAATTCAAATCAGGGAAGTTGATAGTAACATAAATCAGTGTCAGGAGACCATGAAAACTTTAACTTGGGAGAAAATTTCAGTTAAGGAAATTCATGTTGAAATTGTTAAATCCCTAAGCTATTTCGTTGAGACCCAACAAAGTGCTTCATTTTCTTTGAGTTAAAGAAATATTCAAGTTACAGACATTTGAGTTAGAGAAGTTTTACTGTATTAAATTTTTAGTAATTATTATTAATGTAATTTTTAAATAGATGAGATAGTTTATTTCAAACCAAATGATTAAAGAACTTTTAAAAGTTAATCAAATTTTTTAAAATAAGCACATTTTTATTTCTAGCTTCCAGAATTTAAGCATTGAATTTGTTGGCAAAAGAGAATTATCAAATATAATATATGAAAGAAAACAGAAGGAATTACAGTTTCAACTATGTGATGAAGGTAAATATTAATGTAATTTTTATGAAACAAGAATTTACTTTATTAAACACAACTAAACATAAAACACCCTTTTTTTTAACTCCAGCAAAAATATTTAATTACAAATGTTTTCAATCTATTTAATGTTATCATTAGGTAACATGTTTGACACAGAAATCTGATTTGAAATTTCAGGTATACATAGAATATATACAAAAATAGAATTATAAAAAGTAAAATTACCTAAAATATGAATTATAATATAACTACAAATATTAAAAAAATAAATAAAGTAAGTAGCAATGCAAAAGTAAGGTAAACTAAATGATTTCCAGGCTGTAGAAACATTGTTACAGTATTTGAAGTTAATACTTTTGACACTATGATAGGAGAAATAAATTTCAAATTGCTCTGAGTGCCCTCAGCAGAGATTTTCATAATAATTGCATTGCACAGGCTTTGTTTAGTTGAAGGTCAATCTCTGGTTCTGCTACATAAATGGTCAATGCTATAGTATGAACTGCTATCTTAAAGTCCCACTCATGCTTTTGAATAATGCATGCTAACAGAAGTGAGAAGTTTTTCCAATATATTTCTGTTTTTTGTTGTATCTCTTTTTCAGATAATTCTTATTCTGTATGAATATTTATTGAGTTGCATTTTTCAAATTGCAGACTAATACATTCCCACTGTCCTTCATTAATCTCAAGAATGGAATTAGACAGATAAAAATTTAGATCAGATATGGAAAGCTTAGAGGTTTTGATTAATAATATAAAATTTCTGGTCTCAGTCTGGATCAGAAGCCATATAATTTTTTTAAATTAAAGGATAAGTAAAAATTCAGCCCAGCATTGTGATGATGTCACAATAAATAATTACTTGTTCATTAATATTTTTTCTTACATATTGGCAATGGCCTGTGAGATATTAAGTTAGTTTGTAGTGGGTCATGGACAAAGAAATAAGACACCCTTGTTAACAAAGTACAAGAAGTTTATTATAAAAAAATAAAACACACAAATATACTCCACAAGACTCAGGATATCAGTTGATGGGGACTTCAGCTGGACAACAATGTACCTCAACAACTCTTTTGGGAACAGACAACCACGAATAACAAACTCAAAACCAACATACACAAACATATTATTAATATTTAAGCTTATCCTATGTATTACTATTAAACTAAAATTAAATATTATTACCAAACTTAAAGCTAGTACGAAATCAACCAGTACCGATAGATGCAACTTAGACAATTAGAAAAGTCCTGATTGCAATGGATAGAAATGTCCTATAGTCGGAAAAGTATAGGAACCAGAAAAGGCATTCCAGTTTAGAATGGCAAGAAGAAAAATAGAATCTCCTTGCACTATTTCACTTATTTACTTCTTGAGGGCGATCTCTTGTCTTTGTCCTCTGTGTCAGTTATTCTTCAAAGACCTTGATGCCATGTACTTTTTTTCGACTACCTTTGTTGAGGTAGGATTGTGTAAGAACACAATTCCTGCCTTTTTTTTTGAACTCATGATCCACCTTCACAAAAAGACGGTTGAGGAAGCGACCATTGGATTTTGAATGTGTGGCCGCTGATTAATCAGCAGCTCATCACACCACCAGCGGATCTCCATTAGAGCTGCGACCTGCAGAAATCACTGATTGGTCGACTGACCCGCTGTCAACAGCTATAAAAGGTTAATATCAAAGCGGGAGAGTTAAGTTCACTTCAACACGGGAACTTCGGGAAGTTTGCTTCGGAACTTCAGGATATACATTAAGTTTGTCGTAAATCTTCAAGTGTGCATCAAAGTTCGAGTCGAGTCTGGATTCATCTCACTGTCTGTTCTTCAACTGCTGGAAGAAAAGATTACTTCTAGCCAAAAACTTGTTGATTCATCATAAGGTGTCTTCTCGATGGACCATATCAGCATATTGAACTATCTGAACTTTGTTAATGTTATTGGTACACCGAGTTAGTCGCCAATTGTGAAAATACAAACATTTTTAAACTTCACTACCTTCTTTGCTGTCTCACGGAATCCTTTACTCCTCCTAAGAGAAGGAACCTACATCTGACCTGGCTCATCTCTTGTCCAAAAGTATCTTTTCTTTCTACCTCCATTTTCCTGGGCTACCTCAAATACTCATCCAACTGGTCCTTCTCAATTGGACAGGGAAGAGGGGCAACTCCAGAGTTGAATTAATACAAAGAATAGGTACAGACAAGCTGGCTCAAAATTGGAATTACAGGGAGGTAGATAAAAGAGCATACATAAAACAAAAAACAAAAAAAACAAACACAAAAAGAAACAAGGCTTATCACCACAGGCCCATCGGGAAGTTAGGAAATTTCCAGAGCCACTGTTAGGGCTGGTTGACTAGTGCTGGGTACCTGTTTATTCATAGGTATTAGTACAGTACTGTATCCATGCTAATTGAACAAGTTCCATCTGCCATGCTTTTAATGTCAAGATATTTACTTGTATTCCAGTGAGTATGAAAGAAGAAATAAAAAATGTATTTTTTAATACAACAATAATAAAGTATTGTATGCTTTATGATTTCAGATTAGTTTGAAAACTACAAAACATAAAACCAATTTTTTTTTTTAATTTCAGCAAAAACACATAATTACAAACGTTTTCAACATATTTAAGGCTATAATCAGGTAATCCATTTGAAATAGAAGATTAATTTGAAATTTTGAATACATATACTGGTATAACAGCATTTGCTAACCAGTGGTCCATAGACTACTGATGGACTACCAAAATTTTTTCACAGACCTTGGAGGAATTTGGACATTGATGAACTCAAGATTGTGTGAAGTATTACAAAAGAAATGCAAAATGCTTGGTTTCTTTTTCTCACTTATTAGTTTTAGATTTGAATAAAAAAACACCAAACATAAAATGACTGTTATCAATAAATCTATAAATAAATCAACAATAAATAATGTTGAGAGTATGATTGTCATCCTTCATGGAAAAGAGCCAAGATTTCATAGACTTCTTTCAAACAAGCAGCAACAAACTTCACACTTCTTCTTCTTCTTCTTCTATATAGCTTCTCCGAGCTGGAGGTTGCTAACAATCGATCGCCACTCCTCCCAATCTCTCACAGCGTGAATTAGTTGATTCTTATTAATTTGACTCCACTCTGCTATATCTTGTAGGTAGGTCCTCCGNGGATAATCGAGGTTCTACTATATATATATATATTTTTTTATTAATATAATATACTTGTTTAAATATATTTTTATGTATACAAAATTATAATATTTTAAATAAACAAAAAAGCTTTTGAAATAATGCCATCAAATGTTTGAAACATTCCAATTTGGAATTTCAGAAGTTTTTAATTTGAAAGCTGAGGCAGGTTTATAAAATAAACAGAAAACATTTGTTCTGTAAAGTCCTTTTGTTGGAAAAGTGTGTTTGGTTTTCACTTTATTACAAGTTATCTCTTACAGTTTTGATTTTAAACTTTAGGATTAAAAAAATTAGTCTGTTTTAAGTTTATTAGTATAAATAATTGAGATGAAATATTTTATCAATTTTAGGATGAACTTTTTTACTTATTTTATTTGTTTGAAATAAAAATGCATTTTACATTTACAGTCTTCAACAACAACCAATGATAGGATGTCTTGGCCATCCAGTTACTGTTGATTGTTATTCTGGACTATAAATGTATTTTGTAAATTGCTGATTGCCTTTATCACAATTGACTGCCAAATCACTAATATTTCAAAAAAAATCCAAAGGGGTTGTCCCCAGGGTTGCAGCTCTGGCCTCCTTCTATTGCTCATGACTTACAAAAGCCTAATCAAAATTCAGCATGATCTCCCAAGGTATCCAACAGTCAGCATACAAGCATATGCTGATGATACTCTTGTCTTAATGAGACATAAAAATCATGAGGTTTTGCAGTCGAAAATGAACCAACCATTTCAGGACATCAGTGAATGGTCCAAGTCCAACCACCTGATTATAAATCTGGCGAAATGTGAGTGTATTGTATTCCAGAGGAGAAACACTTTGGCCAAAAAACCCATCCTAAAAATCAACAGATAGAAAATAGCCAATTGGGACACCAAACCCCTGGGCTCAAAGTTGATGATAAACTTATTTGGACTACCAACTTGAATTTGTTCACTAACAGGCATTAACTATGGTCCACTTACTGTGCTCATTGCATGTAATACATGGGGTCTTAACTACAACAATGACAAAATAATTTACACAGGGGCCATAGAATCCTCCATTCTTTATGGTGAAATTTGGGGGAAGACCATTGCAAAAGCTAACATTAGGAGGAGCTCCTTTCCACTCAAAGGAATTTCGTTATACTGATCACTAAGGCTTACAGGACTGGGGCACTGGAAATATCATCTACTTCTAGTACATTTTCATCACTTTGAGATCCAGGGGGTTTAGGTTGGCCATGACTTGCATTGCGTTTGTCAGGGAGGTCCTGTAAGCCTTAGTGATCAGTATAAGGAAATTCCTTTGAGTGGAAAGGAGCTCCTCCTAATGTTAGCTTTTGCAATGGTCTTCCCCCAAATCTCACCATAAAGAATGGAGGATTCTATGGCCCCTGTGTAAAACAAAAGTATCCTTGAATCTACCAGCATTCCACCTGACATCAAATATCTGTGGGACAAAACAAAACTCACAACTTTGATCTGCACTATGACTTCCTTCCTGACCACTTATCTCTCAACCCCCCTGAAAGAAGACAAGGGCATCACTTCTATACAGGCGGGTCCAAATCTCTCAGTGGGGTCGGGTCATGTCAACCCGAAGGGCACTCCACACACCAGGCCAACTATTGGCTCATGGAATATTGCTCTAACAATCAAGTTGTTACATCATACTTAACGCCCTAAAGTACAAACAAACTAATCACAAACAGTTTTCCAAGGAACTAATCACCATCCACACAGACAGTAGGATTGTTGTTCATCAGATACATAAACGAAATAAAAAGTTTACCATAATCCAGCAGATCTGTGACTCTCTCACATTCCTAGGTAAGGTGTCCTTTGAATGGTCAAGGGGCACACTGGAGACCAGTGGAACGACAGGGCCAATCTACTGGCCAAAAAAGCCATCAGCAACATTGCTACCATCTCCTTCAGATACATCCCAGCTATTTGGGTACTAGGGCACTTCAATGATTACGTCGCAAGCATATGGCAACAATGATGGGACACTGAGGTCTCTGGGAGACTCATGCATGAGATTGAGTTTATACCTCTCCAACAGAGAACACATGGGACATCTGACACCAAATCATTCTGTATTGCAACTTATGACTGGCCATGGAAACATGGCATCATACCTCCACTACTTCCTCAGAAAGGGGAATGGAGAATGTGACCATGGCATGGGAGAACCAGAGGACTCACACCATATCATCTACTTATGCCTTAAATACCACAACAGCAGGAGGAAACTGAAGGAAGAAATTTACAAGATAGGAGTCAACTGGCCATGTAAACTTCTTGACTTAGTTAGCAACAGGAACATCTATTAAGCATTGGTCAACTTCGTGTATGGTATGAATATTGTTACGCATCAGGTCCTAGCTGCCAGTTGAGGAGGACATCACTCACAACATTAGAACAGCGTCAACTGTATCCTCTTCAAAGTACTATAAATGTGAAATGGGTATTCTCTCATTGACTCTCAGTTGTGCTTCAGCTTAAGGCTACTCGGTCACCTTTTGTTATTTGTAGTTTTGTAATACCTGCAAATCTTAGTGTTATAAAACAGCAACCACATACCGGGTTGTATATAGCAAAATATGACCTACTTGAACCTATAACCAGTGTGTACAAAGTTTAGTCTTCCAAAACAAACATTTTCCTAACCCCTTCTGGGTTCTTCTTCAGGTAATTCAGCTGGAGTTTGATCCAGCTGACACTGACATCTCTGTAAATTGTAAATTCCTGTTCTTTGTGCCTCACTGTTTTGTCACCTGTGCCCTCTGAAGTCTGGAGGAAGCATCGTATCGCTTGTTCTGTTTTCAACAATCTGGTGTTATGTTTTTGCATTGGTTCTGCATCGTTACCCTTTGGAGCCAAGGGGGCATTTTCTTTGTTGCCCCATTCTCCCCACCAGGTTGAGGACTCCTCACACAATTTCATTGAAGGGAAACTCAAAGCCGATGGCTGTTCTAGGGTTTTCCCTCACCTCAAGGTGCTGAGGCGTGTTTCCTGTTTTCTCATTGTATGTATCATAATTTTATTATAATTCTAGTTGCATGAGTGACCCTACCAGGAGCAGATGCTCCAGCTGGAATAGCTCTGTGGTTCATCAGAATTATAGAGCTCGCTCACCACAGCAAGGTGGTGACTGGCAAGAGAGTTATTATCATTATTTGAATATTTTTACTGTTATTACTTTATAATTTGAATATATTGTATTCCTAGAATCAACTGACACTGGGGAATTGAAAATTACTAGAATTGATAAATATTCAGGATCATGCAAAGGTGGTGATGAAGTATTTTTACTTTGTGAAAGAGTTAATAAAAGTAAGAGACAGTTTCAATACTAAAATCGCAATAAAGAAAATTTAAAGCTAATCTTGTTTTTTAATAATCAGAAGATATAAAAATCAAATTCTTTGAAGAGAAAGATGGTGAATCTAGGTGGGAAGCAGAAGCAGATTTTACAGATTCAGATGTTCATCATCAGGTAAATCTATTTGAAGTTTTAAAATATTTGGATGATTAGTAATCCTTCTCTTGTTGCAATATTAATAGTTTTAATTTTGTTAATTTTAAAATACCAATTAATAGTTTTGCAAAGGATAACAGTTATACCTTGTATGTTCATTACAAAGTAGAAAATATACAGTACAGGTAACCCCCGTATAACACAGCACTTGTATAGCACAGATTCACTCTAACACGGTTTGAGAATTGGTACCATCACCGTATAACACGGTACTTTTATAGCACGGATTCACTCTGACACGGTTCGAGAAATGGGTAAAACCCTTGTACAACATGAAATGTAATAAATTTTTACATGCTTAAGTACTAATAGTTCACGAAAATTATTATTTTCGTGAACTATTAGTACTTCAGTGTGTAAATTTTCTTTTCTCATCTCCATACACATGGTCCTTCGCGAAAATTGTTTCAATTTTGCCAGATCTCAACGCTTCTGCTTCTGGTGTTGCCAGATGTTTTTCTGTTATTCCATAAGTGCTTAGCACCATATAAGGAAATTTATAAAGATTTTTTAACTAGAAGCAAGCAATCTAAAATTACCTACACTTTTTGCAAAAGGTAAAGCATGAATCTGAAAATAATGCAGAAAGATGCTCAGAGGATAATGATAACTTGCCAAAAATAAAACGCTCTCGTTTAATAGTGCTTTTAGTGGTGACAAAGAAAACATTGTTTAATTTATATTAATATGTATCACTTGAGAAAATTTTAATAAAGATATTTATCTTAATTATGAAAATATAGTAGCATGTTTTTTTAATTTTTGGAACCTAACCCTCCTTTTCGTACTAGTTCTTTGTTTTGCATAACACTGCAATTTTTTGGAACGTAACTACCATGTTATACGGGGGTTACCTGTATTTCAAACATAGCTTTTAATTTCCTAAAATATGTTTAAACTGTTATAATCTGTTTGAAATTTCCAAGAATTTGCAAAAAATGTGAGATTATAAAAAGGGCAAAAAATATCATACAGTTGGATATGACATAACATTTAAAATTTTGAAGTTTTTTGAAAATCCAAATATCAAGTTTCGAAGAATTTCTGCTGCTTAGCTATGGCAGCAGAGTGATACACATTCAAGATCCAGTACATAGGGTCCATTCTTATTCTAAAAATGCTATAGTTCAGATGTTTCTTTTCCAGCTCTGTTATATATAACAGGAAAAGTATGGTGATTGGTCAAAAAATGACCCCCAAGATTTGTACATTTTTGGACTCAGGACCTTGAAATGTTGAGAAAATCCAAAAAAATTTGGTGGTTTTTTTGTGTGTGTATGGATGTTTGGTGTGCGGGACACAATTTTGTTCACCAATGATGTGTAATAACTCCTGTGCTTTTTGTTGAAAATTTCTGATATTTTGCAGGGAGGTTTGTATATTAAATTTTGTATATGCTATTATGCTATTTAAAAATTGTATATGGTATTAAATTTTGGAAGTTAAAGGTTGATGGGATGAGGAGATAAAGGGAGTCGTGTCACATCTCCAATAGGGTCTGACTTAATGACAAATTTTCACATTATTAGCATTTACAATTTTTTATAAAACCTATTCCTACCCTTAAAATTATGCTTTCTACAATTTTATAATAGTTAAAAATATAAAAAGTTGTTTTAATAAAATATGATAACAGATTGCACCACCAAAATTTTAAATATTGGTTGAAAATTATTTATTTGCATTAAGGCTAAGCCTTGTTACAGGGGGTATTTTTTCAATGATATTAATATTATACATTTGTTATTTTTTTTTCATCATTTGATATACATAACATTCAAAATTAACAACAACATTACAATAATCATTTAGTGCTAAATTTTTTCAATATTTTTCTGTTTTAATATTTTTATTTTATATAACATAATTAGTAAAAAAATTAGATTTTATCAATTTATTACATATTTTTTAGTTCTCTGGCGATTAGATTAAAAAAACCATTAATTTTATACATTTGATTAAACGTGAGATTGTTTAACTTAATTCTAAAGTCTTGATTATGGTTCGTATATAATATTTCATTAATTTCATATCTCTGTTGATATTTCTTTAATCCTTCACAGTCTCTTAGTATATGGTTCAAAGAATAATCATTAGATTTACACCAATAGCATTTGTCATTCGTAAAATCAAAATAAGTATTATTAATAAACAATGAATATTTATTAAGTCTTAACTGTATTAATAATCTTTTTATATTCATATTGATATTAGCAATAATGATGTTTGAAATAGACGGGATGTTTAAAATATTGATGTACCATGGATGATATGTAGACTGATATAATAAGTTTTGATCCATTATTATTGATTGAGAAAACGCTGATTCAATCATTAGAGAGTATCCATTTTGCCAATTCGTTTCTGAACCTTCAAATAATCTGTATGATACACCAAAAGATTGTAATAATTTATTAAATTTGTATTGCCATAGATTTTTATTGTTATCAAGGTTAAAATTTTGATTTAGCATTATTTGATGTAAGAATCTTATATTATCGTCATTAGACTGTTTTAATCTATAATAGAATTTTATCAGTCTTTTTAAATAAAACGGAAATAGTTGGAATCTGTTAGTTTCGGCACGAATTGCATAACCAGGAACTGTCCTTTCTATTTTATATAATTTTCGTAGGTAAATAACATGGAATTTTTCTAAATCGTACAATAAGTCTATTGCCCAAATAGGGCTTGCATAATATATTGAAGGGATAATTAAAAGGTTGAATAATTTCATTTGTAGTTTTATATTCGTCATTTTTAAAGTTGCACATAAATATATAGCATTGTCCATCAAAGTATTTATTTTTTTAGTTAGATTTTTCAGATGCGGTTGAAAATTACAATTCCAATTAAATGATATTCCTAAATATTTTATATCATTTACCAAGGTAAGAAGTTGATTATTTAAATAGTATGACTTTTCTTGTTTTGGAAGTTTAACATTATTTCTAAATATTATTATTTTGGTTTTTGAGATATTAATCGTTAAAAACAGGGAATTCAGATAATTGTTTATTATATTTAATTTATGCTGCAAAGCTATTTTTGTTGGTGCAAGTAATACAAGATCATCTGCATATAATATATAGTGGTAGCTTCTTCCAAAAATTTGAACACCTTCAGTATCAAGTAGAAATAATTTATCAATATCATTCAAATAGAAATTAAACAAATATGGCGATAGCGGTTCTCCTTGTAATAATCCTCGGTTTATAATTAGTTCTGGGAATATCTGATTAGCATGGCTAATGTTGATTCTATAATTTAAAAATAATTTCGCAATTGAGTTTGAAAATTTTTTTCCTGAGCCACACAGTTTTAATTTATTTATCAAAGTTGGAACATGAACTGAATCAAAGGCTTTTGATATATCGATAAAAGCAGAATATATTTTCCTGTGTTTTTTTAATAAGTAAATTTGTATTATTGATAATAAGAAGAATAATGTCATTTCTGTTCCTTTTGTTTTTATAAATGCGAATTGAAATTTTGAGTTTAAATTATATTCTTCAGTCCATCTTTGGAATCTTAGTGCCAGTATAGAAGTAAAGCATTTTCGTAAAGTTGATAGTAATGCGATTGGTCTGTAATTTCCTGGATCTTTTCTGTCTCCTTTTTTATATATCATTATCAGTTTTACTGTATTCCAATTTTCTGGAAAATTTGCTGAATTGTAGAATGAATTGATTAATTTGAGCAATACCTGTTTTCCTGATGGTGGTAATAATTTTAAGAATTTGGCTGTAATTAGATCCATACCTGGTGCAGATTTTGTTTTCATTTTATTGATTGATGCTTCTAATTCGTCATAGGTAATTATCGGATCCAAAATTTCATTTCCCAGATTCAGCGTCTCAATAATGGTTATTTTACTTATAGCGGTTATTCTTTTATAATAAAGAGACCAGGTTAAAAAGTCAATTTGCGATTGATTATCAGAATTCTGTCTACGCAGTTCACGTACTGTTGACCAAAACAAAGTATTATCTTTATTTACAATTAGTCGATGTTCCAGATTTTTAAAATATTTTATTTTTTTAGATTTTAACAAATTAAGATATATTGCCTTAAGATTCTTATAGTTTATAAGGTTTGCTTCGTTTGACATATTCCTAAACTGTTTTAAGGCTTTACTTTTCTTTATTTTAGAGATATAACAGGTAAAGTCATACCAAGGCTTCTTAAACTTATTGGTTTTTATATTATTAATCTTTTTTATATTAATGAATTTTTTTATTAAATTTTCTAATTGATAATATATTTCTATTCCTTTTCTTGGTAAAAGTTTTGGTAAATTTTTAATTTCTTCACTAATTTGCAATTGGAAATTCAGATAATCATATTTTATTATTTGATACGGTTGAAATTTTCTATTATTTAGTTGAATATTTGCCATTTCAAAGACAGTCAGGACTGGAAAATGATCAGATAGATCGCAATTTAAAACTTGAATTTTTACACATATATCAGCCAGCAAATCAGAACATAACATAAGGTCTATTACTGAACTTCCAACACCAGCAACACAAGTAAATTCAGATGGATAGTCATTTTTTATTCTTCCGTTTAAAATTATTAATTGCAGTTGTTGAGTATTTTTTATTAATTGAAGTCCTAATCTATTATGTTTATTATCTTTTGATTTTCGGTTAAAGTGGACTAGATTATTTGGTCCATTATAATCTGAATCCATTATCTGCGCTATTCTGGAATTAAAATCACCAAACAACAATACATAAGGAGAAATATGTTTCCATTTTTCGAGAATTTTGAAAATTTCATTTAATAATTCTATCCGGTCAGGTGGAACATAAACTAACATCACTATAATTAACTTTTTATATAAATTTTTCATATCAGTATTATCAATTTGTAATAAAATTAGAATATAATTAGTTGTTTTTTGTATAAACCTTACGGAACCAATGTTTTTTCTTAATATTAGACACAGTCCTCCATACGGTCTTCCAGGTCCTATTGGTTTCTGTGCATCAGAAGATATAATTGTATATTCCATACTATTTTTTATAATTTCATTAACTGGCATGATTAGCCAGGTTTCAGTTATACCTAATATATCTGTTTTGTATAGTAATTGAGAAAATTCTTGAAATTTTATTTTATGTATTAAACCTTGGCAGTTCCAGTTCATAATATTTAAATTAAAGTTGTTTGAAATTTTAATATCTTGATCATTTTCACATTCTAATTCTGAATTAATTATGTTATTGGGTTTTTCTGTAGAGAATATAACAAAAAATCATCAGCATATACCAATTGATCTCGAACATAACTATATGTAATTTTTTGATGATTAATTAATAAATAGTCATCACGCAGTTTTAGTTGAAATCCGTGTTTTTTAAAATCTGTGTAATATTGTAATAGTTTTTTCCTTCTTTTGCGAGAATGTTTATTTAAATCAGCTGATATATTAATTTCTTGCCAATTTCCCAATGACTTGTTATATTTCAATTTATTAAAGGCTGCAAGGATTCTATTTCTTAATTGGTTTGTTTTTAATACTATACACTTAATTAGGATATTTGAGTTAGGTATTGTGTAGATATTTTCTATTTCCTCTGATTCATTGCAGTCTATTTTTAAAGTATCAGAAAAAAATGTTGCTAATTCATTTTTAGTAATATTTTTAAGCTGATTTGTATAATCATAAATTATAATTTTATTATTATTTATGGTATTAGTCATAGTATCCAGTTTATATTGAGTCAATTCATTTTCCAGTCTTAATTTAATAAATTCGTTTTCTATTTTATCATTCCTTATCCTTATTTGTTGAATCTGGTCTTTAAATTCTTTAATTTCATTTTGAATTAAATTAATTTCTTGTCTTATAAGTGAAAATTGGCTTACCAATTTATCATTACTGTTAGTTATCAGTTTGACTATCTTATTCCATAATTGTGCTGTTGAAATGTCTATTTGTTCAGCAGGTAATTGTTCTTGTGAAGAAGTTAAATTAATTAGCTCACCTGTTTGATATGATGATTCAGCTCTTCTTGGTTCAGTATATTCAGTGATAAGGTTTGAATCTGGTTCCAAAGGTTTAATGCCATCCGTCAGCAATTTCTGACGAGTAGGTGGTCTTCCTCTTTTTGTTGGAGTTTTCTGTAAGGGTCCTGGATTTAACTCTATTCCAGCAATCAATAACAACAAAATAATGAGCTTAATGTTATTCCTTTTAGTTGAAAATAATTCAAAATTTTTCATTTCTTGAAAAAATAAAACGAAATATGAAAGCACAGAAAAAAATCGCGCCAACAGCATTGACGATCAGAGCGCCCCCCCAAAATTTTAAATATTGTAAAGTTGAGCAACCTGTTACTGGTTTATTCTAATTTTAAACATTTAGACTATAGTATTCTTGGTACATATTGCAATGACCTATATTTAGCATTGAAGATGGCTAGGATGGAGATATTGATAAAATTGAATTTATAAATTGAGTGTCAATAGTTTTGTTCCATAAGTCAGTATAGAGATGCTGTTTGCAGCAAACAGGACTAGCTTCTCAGGTTTTTTTCTCAGGATTGAAATTTTTTGGAATTACTGAGATGTCAGAACTAGTGTTGATGAGGAATTTATATTTATTGGCAGGATCAGCCATGGTGATTTGGTCGATGTGGTGGATACAACTTTTGGTCTTAATTGTCTGCCCAGTCAGTTTTCCACGAGTTGCAAGGAGCAAGGGGCTTTGCACTTTTTGCCTGTGGTCTAAAGGTAGTATGATAAAAATACATACCATTGTCGAGACTATTGTGCCATTGACTTAGCCGTGATTTGCTGTGGCACCTTATGTTAGGAGGGTGGTATTCTGGGCATATGGGAGATGGCCGGCACAAGTTGTAGATTGACATAGAAAGGTTTTTGACCTGTTTAGTTAATTCCACAACTTGGTTCTCCATGATCAAACCATTGAGACTATGGTTTGATCATGTTTGACAGTATGAATATTCATGGGGAGGCTAATTCCATGATTTTGTCAGCCATAGTGGCTAGTTGTTGCAGTTTTTTGTTCAACTCAGCAAGATGGCTTGTATATTGTGTGGGAATCTTGAAAGCCAGAGTGATTTTAAAAGGTCTTTGCTAAAGTGGTTACCAACTAAATCATGCATCCATGTTAACAGGAAGGATGGATGTTGATCTCCCAGCTCCAACCCTTTTAGTAACATTTGGATTTTGGAGGACTCACTCTTTGAGTAGATATCTATTAAACAAGCTTTGAGAGTAGCAAATTTGTTCTGGTCGGGTGAGTTCAGGATTAGGTTGTATACTGAATTTAAGATTTTGGGCTCTACTGCTGTGTGATGTGTTTGAATATTTGTAACATCAACAGTTATGTTTGTGATGGGAAACTGCACTTCTAGTTGCAAGAACCATAGGCTAGGGCTGCTCTTCCAAAATGATGGGGATCTGATTGCAACACATGCTATGTGAGGGTTGTAGACATGATTTCTGTCTCAGACATAATTTGAGTATAGTTGACCTCTGGTAGAGTGAAGACAAGTAAAAATAAATGATGTGTTACACACAGTTCAGCATGTGGTAAGAGAACAAAGAAGGATGGTGCATACAATACCTTTTGTTGTTCTGTCAACTGGAGAACAAAAATGTCCTTGGTTGTACGTTTTGGTGGTCTAAATGAATGGGTTGATAATTCCAAGGAAGATGAACGTTTAATGTTGCATCTGATGTGAATCGATGAAATTTTCCTGGCATGTAGTAGTTTCTTCACTATTTGAAAGGCACCACAGATCACATTTGGGTCACCAGTTTATAGCACTGGCTTGTATTTACACTGAGGAGGCACTAATTCATCTTGAGGTATAATATCAGGCTAAAACTGTAGGAGTTAATAACTTAACTTTATTTATTTGGCGTTATATAAAATACAGTGCGTGGTATTGAGTGGACACAGTATACAAAAACTGCATGTATACATGTCTAGAAAGAAAAAGTGAGAGTTTTTAGATTGGTGTTACCAGGTCTTGTTCAGCTCCTGGAATCCCTCTGATGGCAACCCTTGTTTTCATGACAGTTGTGTTGTCACAAACACGTTCTAATTTTTTTTTTATAACTTCTAATAAATTTTTATAATAATTTTCAATAACCATCATTAATGATGTACTGAATATTTCTGTCATTATTGAATGGTTCTTAAACTATATAGACAATATAATTTAGCATATTATTAATATTAAATGTAATTATAAATGCAAGAATAATATATTTCAAATACATGTAAACTTTTTGTTTAATTTTAAAATGTTTTTTTTTAGAAGTGTTTTTATCTATAATTTTTCCATATTCTTATTTTTAATTTTATGAGCATTATAATGTTTAATAATTAAACCTTTGATGTTTTTCATAAGACTTAATAAAAAAAAATTCCTGAAATAAAAATTATCACTATTATATTTTTTAATAACCTATAGTGGTAATTTTATACTGTCATTAAAAATACTGTTGTTAATTTATAAGCTAAATATTCAGATACATTTTAAAATTATTTTGATCTTTTATTGTAGGTAGCAATTGTATTTAAAACACCACCATATAGAAATATTGATATCAATCAGTCAGTTGAAGTTAGAGTTCAGCTATTCAGACCTTCTGATAATGAAACAAGTAAATCAATACCATTTGAATATGAACCTGCATTAAAAGGTAAAATAGTTAATTGATTGTACATTAATTATTTTAATTTTTAGTTATTAATTTAAATATATAAATTTTGAAAATCATTGTATGGATTTAATATATTTAATGATGATCAACAAACATCTAAATTGTCTTTTATTAACTAGAATTAAAATCTTTTTAATATTTTTGGAATTATAATCGTTTGATTTATAGAACTATCACACCTTTAATGTAGAGCTATATCCATGCATTTGCTGCATGATGGCATAATATCTAGTGCAGTGTTTTTCAATCTTCTTGAATACGTGACCCCTTTACAAGTTAAAAAATTCTGGTGAACTCCCAGGGCCATATTAAAACTATATCAGTGATTTTAAAAACTACATATTTAATTTTCTTTCTGTTGAGACCTAAATATCAATCAAAAAACTAGTTGTACTGTAAAATAAACAGGCACAGCCTTCTCATTGAAACTGTAGTTTTTTTTTATTGTAGTGTATGACCTACAAACACTTGTCTTTTTCTTTTACCCGTGACCTCCCGTGTAAGGCTTTGCAAACCCCTGGGGGGGTCGCAACCCACAGGTTGGAAAGCACTGATCTAGTGTAATCAAACTTTTTAGCATGCTCATAAAGATTTTTTAGTTTTTTCATTTTAATTTTTAAATATGTGTTCCACTTATATTAGACATTGTATTCTATTTTTAATGTTTCGTTCACCTGACGATGATGAACATAAGTTCATTGAAAGCTCTAGCTAAAATAAAAAACTGTTAATGCCACACTCAGTATGTCTTTACTTCCACTTATCTGATATTTGGCATGACGATCAAGCTATATTGTGGTTCATTTTTATATAACCATTAGCTGCAAATACCTGCTTTGCTGGGTTTTTATTTGTTTGTACATTTATAAGTAATATAGTTTTTTTAATATATAAAAGACTGTTTCTCTTCCTCTACATAATCTTTCTCTGATTTGATGTGTTTCCCTATAATTTTCAAGTTGCTCTTCTGTCTGGTTATTTCTGTTTCGTTGATAATTTTCTCATATCAATTTTAGATGTACTTCTTTTTCTTTCGTAGTTTCATTTCTCTGCACCATCTTTTGCCTTTGAGATATGATTCAAGACTGCAAAAATTCTTTCTTACGCTTTGGCATTGTTTTTTATATTTTTACTATTCACTTTTCACTTTCTACTTTTTTCTGTTATTCGTACACTTTTACTTATGAAAAATCAACTGAAGCATGTGCATCACATGTCTCCAAAAGCCATCCCCACTACTCACACATAATGGTCCTCAACTATTCCAAAACATTTTTGACTATTCGAAAACATTTAAGATTAAGATTACATTATAGCCAATCTTACCCGTTTTCACAGAATGCAAGAATTAGGTCCCCCGTTTTCACAGAATGCAAGAATTAGGTCCCCCGTTTTCACAGAATGCAAGAATTAGGTCCCCCGTTTCCAGACTAATTAGAGAATTTTTACATGGATCTAAAAATATGTTTGATTTCCCACAAAAACAAAAAAAACCACATCTGCGCCTGTAAATCTTGCACGCTACTTTCTCTTAACACTTTCTTTGTTACTCAACACTTCCATTGTTACACAATTTTGAAGTCAACCACTTTCAACCCCCATATCTCCCACACCCTTATAGCTATCGGGACGCAACCACCATAGTGCACGATGGGAGACTTGGGGCTACTACTACACACAAATGCCATTCATGTATGATGTGTAGTTTTGCCTGCAGAGTCAAATATAGGGACAAACACATCCATTTATATATATATAGATATAGTGATAAATAAATTTTAAGCAAGGTTATTTTCTTAAAAGAATAATTGTTTGTTGTGCTGAGTTCCATTTTGGTATGCCATTAATTAGAAAATATGTGTGTAATAATTATAGATAGGAGATAAATGATTGTAATATATGTACAGTACTATGATATCAGTTACGAAAAAAAGTAACAGCTTAAATAAAGAAGGATAAAAGACATCAAAATAATTAATAAGAAATTATTTTAAAATGATAAATACTACAACAAGTAATTATATGGCTCGAGTACCAAATTAATTGCAACTTTTAATATTTAAAACATTTTTAGATACAACTTCATATGATTTATCAAAAAAGAAAAGAAAAACATCACACACTGATTTTGAACCATTGAGTACTGTCACTTCACTATCCCCAAGGCCAGTAAATACAACCAATATAAATTATGAAAAAGAAAAAGGAAATAACAATGAAGGTGGGGAAAGAAAAAATATTGAAAAATCTGTACTTACATGTAAGTAAAATTACTTATAATTTTTGTTTTGCAATATAATTAACTATATTTTAGAATGTTTAATAACTGCATTGCACTTTCATCAAACAAACACTAGACTTGCAAAACTTCAGTTTATTTGAACAATGTGCCAAATAAAATCTCATTTATTTGGCATATCGAGAAACAAAATTCCATGCAATAAACTTGCAATATACATTTCAGGTCTCAGTACAAGCCCTTTTCAGTGCCATATCTTGTATGTGAAGTGGTATAGTTCCAACAAGAAGATTTAAACAAGAATTTGTGTTAAAAAAGGAACATCTTGTTTTTTAGGACTTTTTCCCTCCACTTCATGTAGAAGATACAGCAATTAAAGAGGGGTTACACTGAGACCCAAATTGCATATTACCTAGAATTTTGTTTCTTGATATGCCAAAAAGATTCTAAATAAAATGAGATTTTGCAAGTCTAGTATCTATTTGATGAAATTGCATTGCAGTTATTGGATATTCTAAAAGAAATTAAACAGTATGGTTCCAACAAGAAGATTTAACTACATATTATTATTAAATTCTTTTATAGAATATTGAAAAGATTGATAATTTTAAATCATATTAGATAAGAGAGAATTTCTAATTTTAATTTATACTTTATTTAAAAATAACATATTCGTTAATAATATAATAACTTATAAGTCAATTAAAAATATCAATTTCTGTTTGTAGCCTTGTCTTTGGACCTTGTTTATTAATAGAACTTACTACACTAGTATAGTAAGTCCTATTAATAAACACGGTCCAAAGTGACAAAGATACAAACAGAAATTGATAAGAGTAAGGACATAAAGGCAAAAAGAATCAATTGAAAATATTTTCATAAATATTTAAAAATATCTGTTCTTGAGAGATGTGTGTATGTATATATATATATATATATATTATAGTGACAGTTATTAATTTCATTAATTATAGTGACAGTTATTAATTTCATTAATTACATTTAGTGGTAATAAACATTAAATTTAAATATCAAATGTGTATTTATTTTTATTTGTAATCTGTCAGATTAAAGATATACTGTAATTTTGGGTATATAACTTATCACAATGTAAAAACCTGCAGAAAATTGCAAGAATGAAAATAAAACCTTTGTATAACATCATATACCCCCATGCCTCCAGGGCGGTAACTGGAAGGAAGATAATTACTGGTATGCAGTTTAGAAGTTTCCAACTCAAGCACTAAAATATTCCTTTCTTTTTTTCATTTCTGTTAACAAAGCATTGTAAATATACATAAATAACCAAGCCAAAAAGTTCTATGATAATCACAGTAATTTTTGGATTATTTGGACTATAGTTTGGCTACCTATTAATAATTAATATAAAATAATTTTTTATAAAGGTAGAAAGTTAGACCACTTATACTAACAGTAACTAATAATTTTTGAATTAAATGTAATAATTTTATTTAAATTTAATTTAATTTAAAATAATAATTGACAAAATTGAAACTAAAGACAGCATTACTTTTCTGTTTTAGTTTTTAAACTCTATAATGTAGAAATCAATTTTACATTAATTAAATGAACAATTGTATAAAATTATAAAAATTAAATAACTTTTAACCTGAACACACATTAGTAAAGACAATAGCTTACTACAGTTTCATATACACACAAGTGCTTGTGCTATTGCTTCACTAATGTGTATTTGAAGATGCTTCATGTCTCGTATATAGTATTTAGCCTTACCTAAGGAAGTGGCTAATGAGAAATCCCTCTGAAATACTAAAGATAACCTTGAAAAAATTAATAATTTTTTTATGTTGATAATACCCAGTGATAAGAGTTTCAGAGTTGATAACTCAGCTTCCATTCTTTGAAGAAGTAACATGACAACAGTTGAAATTTAAATAGTTCATTGAGAAATATTATACCATTAACTCGCCTTAAAGTGAACACTGATAAAGTGAATTCTTGCATTAAAGCGAACTTTGTTGTTGCCCCAACAAAATGCCATTGTCATAGTGTTAATTTTCATGTGATAAAGCAAGCAAAAATTTTACCAGACTTCATTAAATCAAAGTGTAACTTAACTCCACAACCCTCAAGAAATAATCCTACTTTCAGTTATGGTTACTTTTTACAGTTTTTGATGTAAACAATAAAAATTAGTACTGTAATAAATGTTCTGTTTTGAGTAGAACAGATTTTTTCCTCGTAATAAACAAAGACTGGTTCAACCTCCAATTGTAAAGTAATTCAAACATATGGTTTCAGTGGACCATTTTACTGTACTCAGAAAATAAGGATTAAAGATAAAGGATTCCCACCCTTTTAAATGAATACAGTCCCTTGCAAACACATGCTAGTTTGCATATGGGGGAGTGCATATGATGATGTCAGTTAAGTGACTTTGTATCAAATATGACTTTTTCTTCACTCTTTCAGTGCCAAAAATATTTTCTACTTTTTAAAATAATCTTTAACAGAAAAAAAAAAAAATACAAATTAGTTTTAGATTTGTTTTGTTTAACCACACCTAAATGGCAAATATTGTCTCCTCTTCATTTTGCTTGATTTGAAAATCATTTAGAATTTTTTTTGTTAATAAATTTAATTTTATTTAACTTTATTTAGTAAATTAATTCAAAATACTGTTAAAATTAATTTGAAGACTTAGTCTGTCTAAAATTGGTAACCACTATTTATTCACTTCTTGTGTTTCAGAATACAAACATTTGATGACCTGACCTTTCTTTGTAGGCTGCTTGGCCGTCAAGTTTAAAAACATTCCTTTAAAAAACACAGAAAAATTTCCAATTAAAATTGCAAAGTTAAAATTGGAACTGGCGGATCTTACAGACAGCCAAGCAGCCTACAAAGAAAGGTCAGGTTGTCATTGTTTGTATTCTGGAACATAAGAAGTGAATAAATGGTAGTTACCAATTTTGAACAGACTACTACTTCAAATTAATTTTAGTAAAATTGCCATCTGACAAACTTCTACAATCAAAATACTGTTATATTTTAGAGATTTTGATTGTCTGTTAAGTCAATTCCCTAAATTATATGACCTTGGCCTTGACCCTGAAACTCTTTAATATGAACTTTCAATAAAGCAAACTAAATGTTACTCTCCTAACAGTTCGTATTAATGTGAGTTGACTGTATAGAAATGGATTGTAGATTTATTTTTAATTCACTTTAACCCTGATTTGTAAAATTGAAACTCTAACAATAATCCTGGATTAGCAGCAGTTCTACAGAACATTTTGTTTCACTTTTTGAAGGAAGGAATAAGCTTACCAGTTACTGTTTTTTAGAATTTGCTTATTGACTATAACAGTTAATAAGCAAATTCTAAAGAACAAATTTGTTAGTATAATATTTAGTGTTTAATTGTCGAATAGACCATTACCATTAGCAAGTGTGATTGATATGGCAGGTTTTGTCTGTCCATTCCTGGTCACATGAAGTTAGTGTTGTGATTAACAGTGTTGCTGACTGTTAATCAGTTTTTCTATTTTTTTAATTTTATGAAAAATTAATTTTATCTGTACAAAATGAGGAATGCTTATAGAAAATGGCCCACAAGGATTATTGTGATAACTTCAAGAAAGAAAACTGTGGAAAAGATTGGAGAAGAATTACACATGTCAGATAATAAATACTAATAGCAAGTTTTAAATTTTACGTATAATAAATTTTAAAACCCTTTAGGCTCTTATTAAGTAACATATCCATCATGAGGGATATTGGTTTAAAAGTGTATGTTTTTTTTAATAGCAAAATTGTAATTATTACATTTTGTGTAGTTCTTTCATTTTTCATAATTTTTCTAATTAGAAATGAAAAGTTTTTTAATTGAAAAATATTAAACTTGTATGATTAATTACATCATATAATTATTATATTACTGCTAGCTGAAGCATTTTTAATCCTAAATAATTATTATTGTATAAAAACTGATTAGTTTTTTGCACTGTGTTTGGTAAAAAGCTGAAGATTAATCTATATCAGGGGTGGGCAAGCAAGAGTTCAGTGGGAGCTGAAATGTAGGTTTTGCAAAATGCATGGGAGCCGCAGTTCTGTACATTTTTATTCTGTACTGCTGTTCTCTACCGTGATTTTATTATATAATATAAATNTTTTTCATAATTTTTCTAATTAGAAATGAAAAGTTTTTTAATTGAAAAATATTAAACTTGTATGATTAATTACATGATAATATCAATATTATATTAGAACTTTTAATCCTAAACAATTAATTGTATAATATTATAATTCATACTTTACTCTAGCCTTGATTAGCTTTACGAGTGTTCTAGAATAAGGAGTAGCCGGCATCGCTACTATAATCAAACTTCTCCACAACACCATGTTATAGCAATTAAACAACTACAAACCTTTTACGGTGCGATATTAAATAAAATTATCAAGAAAAAGTTCCCACTTAAATCGGTTCGAAAACGTTTGTGGGAACTTTTTCTTGATAATTTTATTATAATTCATTTTAGCATTTTATATTTTATGTTAGACTGAAGATTAATTGCAAGTATTTATTAAAAAATTAAATCTTAATTCATTGAACTACATTATAAAAACAGTGAGAAATAAAGTTAAATACTTGGTGTCATTTGCAAACATGTAACTACTTAATTGTCAGTCTGGTGTGTGAGTTACTTGCCATTAGTCAGTTGTATAATGTGAATCCACTTTAACTCATGATTGGAATTTAAAATCAGCATACAATTCAACTACTGCATAGGCTGCACTCCATTTCAAATTATCTTTCAAACACAAATAACTTGTGGTTTATCTGCCCAAAATTACAGTAGAAAATATACACTCATTGAGAGAAAAGTACACACCAAGGCCTGGATTTATGAATTTCTCATAACATATGATATAGTTTCTCTCCAATATTGTAAAGTTACCAGAAAGTAATAAAATTTTACATTTTGTATTCACAAAACACATCACACCATTTACAACAAAACAGAAGAAACTGTTAA